TGAGGATCCAGTGAAATTTGGGGATACAGTGTGTGTGTGTGTGTGTGTGTGTGTGTATGTGTGTGTAATAGAACAGTTCAGTTTGAGGATCAGGAGTCAGTGAAATTTGGGGATATAGTGTATGTGTATGTATGTATGTATGTATGTGTGTGTGTGTATGTATGTATATATACATGTGTGTGTATATATGTATATTATATATATATGTGTGTGTGTATATATTATATATGTGTGTGTGTGTGTGTGTGTGTATACTGCTCACAAAAATAAAGGGAACATTTTAACATGGAACTGAAGGGGTCTGCGTTCCCTTTATTTTTTTGAGCAATATATATATATATATATTCGCATTTTTACAACCATTAAGGATATGTATGTATGTATATAATTTTATATAAAATATAAAACCACCACGTTAGCACAGCTATTCATTAAATTGCTATCTCAAGATAACATTCTTCTTCAAAATATGCCCACTTTCAGCAAAAGGATTATTTCTCTCCTTTTGTGTAACTAAGAAGCAATTTCAAAGGATTCAGAAATTAACAAATTGTGTTACAGGGACAAAAAAAAAATACTTCTCCATACAAACTTGTCTTAGCAGAGTAAATGTAAGACAGTGGTCCTCAATCTTTTCTCCACCACAGACCCCCTTTAAATACCTTTTGTGGCCACGGACTAGGGCCATAGACCCCCCCCCCCAGACTTAACTCAAGATTGAAATCCTGACATTTCTTCAAGCCTTCACGGACCCCCTGTGACGACATTGCGACCCCCGCCCCCAAGGAGTCATAAGATATGATCAGAGAGAGAAGTGAAGGAAGGATGAATTGAACACACCTTGGAAAAATAAAAGATTGAAGTGGAAAAATGGCAAGAAACGTGAAAGTAAATTGATTTAACAAGGGAATTTCTAACTACTGTACGTAATAACACTGAAGAGCCAGAGGTAAGAAGCAACTTAAATATTGCAGTTGGATAAACAACTAATTCACCCTGTAGTTTTTAGTAATATCAACCAGCTAAATTCAAAATTGACCAGAAATTATTTGGAAAGAAAACAGGCCTGGTTTGAATGGCCTATATGGATTTCTGGAACTGGATAATTTTTATTTTTTTGTGAAAGACAAAAACTAGTTACTATGACTGGGATAATGCAGCTGGAAAACCACGTGCCATTTGTGCTGATTTTGCTGCGAAACACAAATTAACTAATCACTGACGAGTCAACGGTGCCAGGAATGGGCAAACTTTTGTGATTTTAATTTTAAAAATAATTTTAATTTTGAAAAGCAAGGCTTCCGGTTCCAGAAAATAGAAACTGGAAACATGAGTCACACACATAGTCTTTGTATAGAGCTACATCTCCATTTATCAAGGACTCAGGGCGTTTTTAAAGCAATTTCCTTCTGTTAAAAAAGTCCAGATGCCTGTCCTATCTTTAATGTCAATTTGTGGCTTAATACACAGGCCTGATTCAGGCCCATGCTAAGACTGGAGGAATGTTGTTTCTTGCTGTGTTAAGAAACAAAAATCGAGAATTGACACAGTTTTTAGCCTGCATCCAAGTTTAAATAACTTTAAAAGTTAATAAAGTTTATTTGGGTGTCACTGGCAACAATATTGCTATGGGTTAGATAAAGCTGTTTTGTTTCTTTTCCAGCCCTATTTTAACAAAAACCAAATAGTGGTTTGTTTGCAAAAGCAAAGCACCAGTACTTCCTCCAAATAAGATACACAGAAACACAAAATGTGCTAAGTTGTAACTCACTAGTAATGGGTCCCACTCCAGCTATTACCTCCTGTTGGGGAAGAGGGCGTGGCTATTCAGCGCCCCACCCCTTTTCCAGGTTCAACTTCCTGCAATACCCCCCCCTCCATTTCCCAGGCAATATTTCCCAAGTAATCTTATTGAAAATTGATTATATTAAATGTATTTTGTATTAAACCGTTGTTTAATTCTTCTTGTGGCTTTGGAGACACTGAATGAGAAAGATGCGATTTTTTTTAAAGCTTGTATTTGGGGAGGATTCTTACTTTTATTAAAAAAAGATTTTCTTCTCATTTTCGTTTTTAATTCTGTTCTCCTGCCCGTCACACTTTCCTGGGATGGGTATTTTAGCCAACTTGTGGATCCAGAAATATCAGCTCATTTTTAACTGGCTTCACAAGCCGGAGTGAGTGAGTTCCACTTTTTTTTTTTTTTTAATGGGGAGCAACTTGTTTTAAAACTGCTGATGGTTCAACTCATTTGCTGCTTTGTGTGTTTAATATTAAGAGAGCAAAAAATCAGCCTGTTTGAAGACAGGCAGAAGAGAGAAAAACCAACCATGGTTGACAGCCCAGAAGAGATGAGAAAGACATTTTAAAACAGGCATTTTTTATTTTATTTTTGCCATTGTTAGTAAAATTTGCTAGAAAATGAGATTATTTCAGAAGATGGTTCAGTCATTAGCTCCCTTGCTCTTATTCCCTGGGATTCAGAGTCTTTTAAACAGCTCTGCTAACTTTTTTCTTGGGGGCCAAAGTATTTTAAACGTTCCAGTGTTCTCCTTACAAAACATCCAGGTCATGTTTGACCCAAAGGTGCTTTTTTTCCAAGAGGCAACTGCACTTTCTTGTTATTCTTTGAAGACGTTTTGCTTCTCATCCAAGCAGCTTCTTCAGCTCAAAGAACAAGAAGAAAGTACAGTTGCCTCTTGAAAAAGCACCTTTGGGATTTTTCTTTAGCCCAATCAATTCTCTTTAAAACATGGGCCTAAATTTCAGCCCTTAAATTCTTTAAGCATCAGAAAGAATCTGGTGATACCTTTCCACAATAACGTATTTTATTTAAAAAGGCACAACCGTTCCTGAATTAGACTGGTTCATAAAACATGTTAAGAATTCTTCAGAATGGATCCCAAGACTTCTATCTTCGTCAGATCCCCGTCTCTGCAGGATTGTCAGGTGTAACTTTCCCAGGTTTTTAACACTGCTCGGACGATTCCCCTAAACTTTTAACAGCTCTGCTAAATAAAATCTTCTGCTCTGCAGATTTTACTAGGCTGATTAAACCGGATACATTAAATTGCTGATTCATATGATGGTTTAAAAAAAGGATTGACAGTCCTTTTAATCATCCTGGGAGTTTCCTTCAGCTTTTACACTGAGAAATATTTATATTTTACACATCCAGAATTTGAACAGGGATATTTGCCGAGGTTTTTTTTGCAGATCCACTAAACACAAAGTCAATTTTGCCTTCCGGATTTAGGTTTTTGAACGACGGTGTTGTTGTTGTTGTTGTTGGGAAAAACAGAAGAGTTCAATGTGGCTGGTTCTTAAGTCCTCTTCTGAGGTCCTCAGGTTTGGATCCTGCCCACACAAGGGCATTTCTGAGCATGTACAAAAAGCACCAGTTAATAGCTAACTTCTGAAGGGCTGGGTTCAAATCTCTCTGCACCTCTCTTTAATCAAGGGGTTCTTGACAGGAAACCATTTTTCGGGCGTTTTGAATTCCTTGCGCCACCCAGAAGCAGAAGCTGGACCTCATCCTTATCCAACAGGTCTTGAGTGGAAAAAACAAGAGCAAAGCATCACCCCAAGAAGTGCACCATCCTATCTAAGAATATAATTAGCAGTTTTGAGAAAGATTGCTTGCAGAAAATAAGGTTGCGGCCTCTGAGCCATTTGTATTTTTCTCTGCTTTCTGCCTTTGGTCGGTTCAACTTTCTGGCTGTCTCTATCGTGGATGTATCATGATTTTTTAAATAAAAAAAAATCTAATAAAATCAGAACTTAACCATGCACGCAGAGAGAGAAGTACCGTTCTGTATCTCACATTTGCAAAATGCGTTCAGTTTTCAGTCCTCCCGTGACAACTGCTGCCTTGTGTAAGAATGTTCAGTTCTGGAGCAGCATTTTGAGAAATGAAACCAGGTTGGAGAGAAGGAAGTTTTCGGTCGTATAAACGAATGCCCTGAACATTCGACGGCCTTTGGTTCCCTTCAGACGTGCTAGATCTCCAGTTTCTAGAACACCTCAACCCTTCCGTTTGGGAAATTCGGAAGATTTAATGGCTAGGCTCTTCCTCAAACAGACAATCCACACAGGGTCCGCCATTTTGCTTCTAGGCAGACCTAGCCACACTTGAGGAAACCATTAAGACACAATAACGATCTGCAGAGAACACACAAGCGGGGGTAGCCTTTTTATTCATTGCTACAGCAGCTGGCAACAGAGCGGGGCCCTTAGCATCCCCGATGAAAGGATACACAAACTACGATTTAGCAGGTGACATATTAGCAAAGAGAGTTCTGCACCATATTTATTTAAAATACACGTACAAAAAAAGGCAAGCCGGGGAATCAGAGTAAGAGCTGGGAGGGACCTCGGAGGTCTTCTAGTCCAACCCCCTGCACAGGCAGGAGACCCTGGACCGTTCCAGAGTTTTGCACGGACATAAACACCACGTCCTAAATGTAAAGTAAGCCTTTGCGGGTTGGCTGCACAGAGAGAGGATTTTTCAGTTCAGCTACCGAAATGCTGGTCGGGGGGGGGGGGGGCTCTGCAGATCAAACGGAGGCAAGCAAAGGCAGACTGTGGTCCTAAGGCCTGGAAGGCTGGATCCGAGGCAGAGAAGCCCCCCCCCATCCCCTCCACCCCTTGGGATTGTCTCTTCTGGCTGCTAGGGAGAGAAAAAACGGGCCTTCTTGTTCACCTGATCACAAACAGGCACTGCAAATTGCAACAGGGCTCAACTGCAGCCCTCTTGGTTCCCTCGTCAGTTCTCAGAGTCAACAAACGGTTGGGGGGGGGGGTTTCTCCTGACCCACAAACGAAGAGAAAGTGCTCCAGAATCACACCTTTCCAATCCCCAGCTTGGGATCCAACCCTGCAGAAGGAAGGCAGGTCCAAACGCTCCCCAAAATCTGAAGACGTTGGCTCAACCCGGAGAAAAGAGGGAATCTCCGTCCTCTCAAAGGCTGTTTAGTTTTGCGGTTGCCGTTTTGGGACACACACATACACACCTTCGCGCACCCCGGCGGCCTAGCCACCGTGTAAGGTGGAGATGAAAACCACGTGATCCCGGTCTTGCAGTTGGTAGTCCAAGTTGCCCTGAAGGAAGGAAGGAAGCAAGCAAAGGAGAGTCAACGTAGGAGACGAGCAGAAAGAGCTGGAAGGCGGAGTTAAATATGTCAGCAGTTTGGCATCCTTGCGCAACCACAAGGGATCCATGTCCAGCCACCACTGAATCCCGTATTTATTTATTTGCAAAATTTACTGGCTGCCCATCTTACCCAGAGTTCACTCTTTCTGTTGACCCTTATCTAGCGCTGACCGATAGGTTGACCAGATTCTTGTGTATCAGCTTAAACAATACATCTTTCTGAACTACCACTCAACCTATGGTCCTGATCCTTTGCACCTGACATTCAAGGGACGCTTTGGAAAGTCCCTTTTGCTCCTCCACAATCCAGGGTAAATGCCCCAAAGTGGCCAAGAGGGCTGGGCACCCCAGTGGGAATCCAATAAGACAGGGAAGGGGGCCTGATGGTTCATTTCAGCATCCAGCACTCCCCCAAACCTGACACCACAACCCCTTTGCTCTCCCTTCGGGCCACCCCAGAAAATAAAGACACCCTCCGAATAACCGAAACGGGACATACCATCAGCTCCCAATCTGCATCATTAATAAGCACCAGAATTCCTGGGCGCCTACAGGAAAAGAGAGAAGCTGTTAAGAGAACAGATTTGGGGTCCAAGAACATACATGTCGTAGGACGTTTTGGGGGAGCGCCCTCAAACCGTTTCTTCCCTCAATGGTTTCATCACCAATCTATTTCCGCTTTCGAAAAACCTCTCCCACGGTTCAGCCGAGATCTATTTTCCACAAGTGTATTAAATTCATGTTTTAGAACTCCCTTCTTTTGAAATGTTGCCGTATTCGGGACCTATCGCCCTTCCTGGTTTGAATCGTCTTCAACGGAAAACAACCCCTTCAATTTTCACGGCTTCCTCGCAGCCTTTACTCTGCCCTCTCTAACCGGCAACATCCATCAAGCAGGTCCACCTCAACGGTTAAACGACAAATTTACTCCAGCCTGCTTAGCTTCTTACAGGCTGGGCTGGCCACTTCCAACCCATTTGCAACAACTCCAGTTCACATCCATAAGGACTAAAGCTTCTTCCCCCCCCCTGAAGGTTTTGGATTCTCCCACCTTAAGGTTTTGGGGGTGGTCTCATTTTGAAGGTCCGTGGCGGCTACCGCCCAGACGGTCTGGAGGCCAAGCAACTCCAGTTAGCATCAGGATAGGCTGCGACTAATAGAGAGATACTCTTCCTAAAACACTCCAAGGCAGAAACGTCATCAGCGGCATGGTACAATCCTGATCATGCTTGTAATTTAAATCTGCCTTGCGGACTGAGTGCGGGGGAAGCCGAGGTGGTGAAAGGCAGGCAGGCAGGCAGCCCCAGCGCCTCCGGGAAGGGGCTGCCAGCAGCATCGTGGGTCGAGAGAGGAATCCCGTCGGCTTCCTAGCCATTGTTTTCCCCAGGGATTGGGGCAGGGGGGGAGGGAAACACCTGGCGCTCCGTTCCCCACCCTCCCACACCGAATGGAGGGGACGAATGCTAAGCACGCCATCCTGGCTTCATTGCGGAGAGGAAATTTAGGAAAGGGGGGTGGGAGGGGTGGGAGGAACTTGAAAAAGAGGAGGATTTCCACAAAGGCTGTGTAAGGCAGTCCTCCGTTCTTAAAGGATGCTAATTGTAGGAGGCGGACGGCGCCGTGGTGAAGACACCACCGAAGCCATCAGCTACGGGAGCGACGATGCTGTCCCGCGGACAAGGGCAGTGTGGCGTGGAGGATTAGGGAGACAAGCCCAGCCCAGGGAGAGAGAATAAATGAATAACCTCTCTACAGCCATTTTTTTAAAAAAAGAGATCCAGCCAGATCCTACAACAGGCACTGGCCAGGTTTTTAAGCTTTGAAAGAGGGAGTCAACAGCCCTGATTTAGCAGCGCTTCCTCGCCACTTTGGCCTCGGCAAGAGAATTTCCTAGAAAGAGAGGGCCTCTTGGCCGCAGTTTGCAGAAAGCTGTGTCTCCGTGCTCGGTGTGTGGTGTGTGTGAGTGTGTGTGTGTGTGTGTGTGTGTGTGTGTAGGGGTACTCACACGGAGTCTCCTTGCACAAATAATTCAGGCCTCTCCTTCAGCAGATTCTCTTTAATCCACGTCAGCAAATGCCGGAGGTTCCCTAAAACAAAACAAAACAAAACAAAATAAAATAAAAAAAGACCTCACCGGGAGCCTATTATAAGCCCCGAGGTTGACGTTCCTTAATTCAGCAAATCTTTTATTTTCTCTGTTTAGGAAAAGCACACACACACACACCCCTGCTTCCTGCAGGGAGAAGTGTGGGGCGATTACAACCCCTCCTTGTTTTTAGTTATCAATTTGACTGATAACGGGCAAAAACAATTTTCTTTGCGGGGACGATAACATCAGCTCTCGTTTCTTCCTGGGGAGATGAGAAAGGGCTGGGAGGGGGGTGGTGGTGGTGGTGCAGAGGAAATTAATTGGTTAAAAGGATCTTTTCAAAAGAAGACAGGGCTGGTAATACTTCATGTGGGTTCCCCCCCTCCCCTACTGTTTCTGTTCTTTGTCTTCCACAGAGCTTGGTCCTTAAAAGTCACTCCGCCGGACTCTGGGTGTCTCTTAAGGACACTGCATCAACCACCCCCCCTCCCTCTTTCCACAAGGGTTTCAGACTGCGTACATTTGGTGTTCGTACTAACGCCGTAAAATAACAATACATTTAGCCCCCAGCTCATCTCATTCAGCTCACTCCATCTCAAATTATCTTGAAATCCCGCCACCAAACCCAAGCCTGTAATATTGGTCCTCGTACCGCAGGATGGAATAAAAGGACGGTGATTAAGGTCAATGTTCATTAGCAAAAGATCTTTTTGGTTATTCACTTTGGGTCCCCCCCCCAATCGTCAACAAAGGTGCTCGTGGTTTAGCCTGTCCAGAGATTGAGGCGGTCTATTCATTTTGTAAACAAATAAAATACCTTTCCCCCCCCCCCTCCAGAGTAAAAAAATAAATAAAAATAGTTCCGCGTCACTTCCATGCACTGATTTAATTTCTAAGGGGGATGTCTTGATGGATTCAAGAGGCAAACTTTAAGGAAGGGCCTCCCTTAATATGAGGGTCTGGTCTTACAGGGATGAGCTAAAGATTGGGAGAAGAGGGGCTTTCCCTCCCCCCCCCACACTTGGAATACTGCATGCAGTTTTGGTCACCACGATGTACAAAAGATGTTGAGACTCTGGAAAGAGTACAGAGAAGAGCAACAAAGGATCAGGGGACCGGAGGCTAAAACATACAAGGAACGGTTGCTGGAATTGGGTCTGTCCAGTTTAATGAAGAGAAGGACGAGGGGGGACATGATAGCAGCATTCCAGTATCTCAGGGGCTGCCCCAAAGAAGAGGGAGTCAAGCTATTCTCCAAAGCGCCTGAAGGCAGGACAAGAAGCAACGGGTGGAAACTCATCAAGGAGAGAAGCAACCTAGAACCAAGGGGAAACTTATTGACAGAACAATTAACCAGTGGAACTACCTGCCTCCAGAAGCGGTGAATGCGCCAACACTGGAAGTTTTTAAGAAGAGACTGGACAGCCATTTGTCTGTAATGGGATAGGGTTTCCTGCCTGAGCAGGGGATTGGACTAGATGACCTCCAAGGTCCCTTCCAACTTTATTATTATTATTATTATTATTATTATTATTATTATTATTATTATTATTACTGCAATTGAGAAGTCAAAGCTAGATCAGATTGTGGAGTGGAAAGGAAGCTGTGGCCAGCCAAAGAATCAAGGCTTTCAATCAATCAATCAGAAGAGAGCTGGAAGGGACCTTGGAGGTCTTCTAGTCCAGCCCCCTGCTCAAGCAGGAGACCCTAGACCATTCCAGACAAATGGCTGTCCAATCTCTTCTTAAAAAACCCTAGTGATGAAGCACCCACAACGTCTGAAGGCAAGCTGTTCCGCTTTGTTAATTGTTCTCACTGTTAATTGTCCTCACTCCTTAATTCCAGGTTAATTAAATTGACTCGGTTTGTTTGCTCTGCTGCCTTCTGAGCTGTTCGCAGGACCTTAGGACCGTCAGCCTGGCATGCAGTTCCAGAACAACATGCGAAGTAGGACAAGGAGGTCCACTCTTTGCTCCGCTTGGGTTGGGGAATTTAGCAAGGTCTCACCTGCCACCCCCAGTTTCTGTGCCTGCTATCCCAGGAACGGGATTTTCCTGGGTCACCCCGTCCCTCACCTTGCCCACAAGGCCCTGGGCACAAGGCTGAGGCCCGGGCACCATATTGAGGCCAGGAAGAAGATGTACGCCAAGCCATTATCGGGGCGTCAACGGTTCCATCAATTCTTGAATGGGCTGCTCAGATGCTTGACGGGAAGGTGGGGTGGGGGGACCCAGAGCCTTCCCCTGGGCCTTTCAGCCCCCCTTCCCCAGGAAAAAGAGATCATTTATCACAGCAACCACAGCCAAGCTTCAATTTGCTGAGGTCACTACCTCCGGCCAATTGTCATCCTGTCATCATGACAAAGGCCAGTTCCCTGAACGCTGTAGCACCTCTTTGGACTGATAGATGACT